CAGACGGAGGGAGAGGGAGAAGCAGTCTCCCTGCCGAGCAGGGAGCCTGATGCGGGGCTTGATCCCAGGACCCTGGGATCATGACTTGAGCCGAAGGCAGACACTTAACCGACTGAGCCATCCAGGCGTCCCTCAAATCTGAGAAAGTTGTACTTTTTCTGCAGATCTGATAATATTCTATGCTATTTTTAGCCATTTATTTACCCTAATTAAGACAAATAAGATATTTAGATTTTTTAAGATATAATTAAGATATTTAACTAATTCATCCAGAAGCTGTTTTTACCTATGGCCTGAGATGAGGATCTAAAGGTAGCCCCCAGAGTGCTCTATGGCGCCCTCAATGATTTACGAGGTACATCTTCCTCTCAAGACTCGTGTAGGGTTAAGTAGATTCTGTCTCAGAGGGCTTGCTCATGGCAGGTCTGAGAGACAGCCTCCAGGACAGCAGGGGAGCAGCCCTGAGGAGGGAACAGGCAGAACTGGAGAAAAGTATGAGGAAACAGCCATCTCGTGCTCTGGAAATTGGGTGTGAGGCAAACGAAGCAACACTTATTCAGGAAAATCTGCTAAATCCAGTAAGAACAGCAGCATCTGTGGTACCTGAGCCTCTAGACTCTCTCCCTCCTGCCTCCCAACTCAGTGTGCAGGAGCTCCCTCTTGGTAGGCGCAGCCAAGAGGTCAGCTCCCTGTCCAGTGCCCAGTCAGGCCTACGGCATCTCATTCCCCCAGCTCCACGTTGCGAGGGGAAGGGTCCCTCGGGCTCACAGCATGACTGAGAATGCTGGGACCCCACGCCCTGGCCCCAGCTTGCTCACACTGCACAGGCTCACAGAGCAGGGTGTCATTCCAGAGAGGCGGCCATCATCCCCACTCCCAAGCTCTGGAGCAGTGACTCAGATTGTTTTCCCCAAGGGGAGAGGCAGTCCATAGGAACAGAGAGTTCTGACGGGCTCCCCAAAGGAAGTGACTTCATTTGAAACACAATGTGGGTTAAGTCCAAGCCTAAGGATGTTCTTGAAGAGAGTGGAGGCTTTGTTGGTAAGCATCAAGAGGAGGCCGGAAGCTTCATGAGAACTACAAGCTCAACGGCAGGCCAGACCACTGACCAAAGGGAACTGGGGAAGGGCATACCTAGGAGAAGCCTTCCTGGGTCAAAACAAACCTTAAACACTGAGCTCAAAGACCACATCTGCCCAAATCTGGGACTGGACTGTGGGGCAAGCAATCCCCTGGGTCACTGCAAAAAACAACAGAGCAACCAACCCAGGGGAGGTTGACCCGCAGAGGCAGAAAGCTCAACAGATCAGGGAGAGGACAGTCAGGGAGCCCCCATAGCCACTGCTGCCCAAGGGGGACCATCCACATGCCTGAGGTCGGCCCTCCAAGGAGTGATGTCAGAGGCTTCACATGACAAGGGAAAGAGACGCCACTACAGTGGTCCCTCCGGTCACTAAGCAAATAAGCCAACAGCGGCCACAAGCCCTAGAGGTTGAGTGCAGCAAGAGGATCACTATTGCAGGATTGACACAATATTTTATCTAAAATGTCCAGTTTGCAACAAAAAATTCAGAGCCAGGGAAAACAGGAGAGTATGATATACACCCAGGAAGAAAAAGCAAGCCAGAGAAATGGCCCAGAAGGCCGAGATGTCAGATTCCACAGATGAAGTCTTCATAGTAGCCACTATAAACATATTGAAACAATTAAAGGAAATAACACTTAAAGAAGGAAAGGAAGGTGTGATACGTCTCCCCAAATACGGACCACCACCAGCGAGACAGAATTTATAAGATAAAAAAGCATAGGCTCAAGAGAAATGAAATCATACGTCCACAAAGAAACGCGTACTCAAATGTTCACAGCAGCAAGGTTCACAAAAGTCCAAATGTGGAAACAACCCAAGCGTCCGTGGACGGATGGAAGGATAACAGAAGGCGCCGGTCCTTGCCCCGGGCGCGGCTCAGCTGCAAAAGCAAGGCGCTGCTGCCACGTGCAGCCACGCGGATGAATCTGGAAAACATGATGCTCAGGGACAGAGGCCAGACACAAAAAGCTACAGATTTATGCTTCCATCCCTACAACATGTCCACAACGGGCAAATCCAGAGAGACAGAAAGTAGAGGAGCGCCTGCACAGAGGAGGAGCGGGGAGCAGAGGGACTGCGGACGCGCACACGCTTTGCTTCCGGGTGCTGAAGATGGTCTAAGAGGTATGGTGAGGGGTGCAAAACTGTGAACACGCTAAAAGAAAAACTGGTATGTTACAGATCTCGATAAAGCTGCTCTCAGGGTAGACAGGGACCAGAGATAAAGGGATGGGTACATAGGTAAGACACAGGTGTCCACAATCCCAGACCCACAATTCTGAAAGCCCAAAGGCCTTTGGAACTATTTTATTGTTGTTATTTTTATATAGTCTTAAGGTGCATAACTGACAATAAGTTCAAAGACCATCACTTCCTCCAGTTTTGCAGGGCAGAGGGTGAGAGTGCCCAGCACCCTGGTGGCTCGTACCTTTATCTGTGTGATGTTGCCTTCGAGCTCAGTAGGGGTCTGAAGGGTCCACCTGTCCTTGCCCTCTGCCACTCGGCTGCTCTGGGGGCCTGGCAGCTTTCTCCACATGGCTACTCGCCCCTTATCGGTACCCGCTGCCAAAAGACCTATGGGTAAAAACAAAGTTCACAGGAAGTGAGCTGAAGGAATCTCTTTCCTGACCATGGCTCTCAAACATCCGGGCATCAGCTCTCCGCCCAGTGGCCTCCAGCTCCATAGCTGTTCCCCCCTGGGAAGAGGGTGAGTGTGCATGTGCTGGGGGTGTTGGTGCTGTTTTCCCTCAGTCTCCCACGAGAGCAGGGGCCTGTCTGCCTGGTCAGTGCTGCTTCCCCAGGGCTAGCGTGGCACTTAGCGCTCAGCAAGCACGAAATAAACGGCGCTCTGGCTCATCTCCTGTTTCTCTGTCCTCCACGCGTGTATGTGTGTGTGTATATAGGCACATACACATACACAGGTATTTTTAATATTTCCCACACATTTTCTCGCGGTTTCAGGAGGGAACAGAGGTCAACTCACCCTGTTGAGCAAACCCCCTGACCTTCGTGTGTGCAAGCAAAGCTTTACTGTCACTTTCTTGTTCCCAAGCGATTCTTTCAAGTGACTGACAGTCACCACCAATTCGCCATTCTTTGAAGGGCTGCAGTCATGTCATCATTTTGCAGCCCCCAGAGCGAGGCCCGAGGCCGCTTCCCTCCCTCTCCTGCACCAACCCTGAGAAGTCTCACCTTTGGCTTTACAGTAAGAAACACAATTTATATTCTCAGCTTTTTCGAAACCACACTTCTCCTCTGGACTCAGCACGTAATTCTCTCCGCCTTCTAAATCCCAGAATCTACAATGAAAGGAAGACAGCTCCCTTCAGGGGCCACGTCAGTGCACTGCCCTCAGCCCCAAGAGTCCTGCTCAACTGGCAGAGCCCTCAGGAAGCACACACAGCCCCTGGGACTCCGATATGAACGGCCTGCCAGCAACACGTTTACACCTATTCGATGCCTTGTTCATAATCAAAGGGAGCAGGGGGTTCATGTGTGACACCAGCTCACAATGAGAACAAAGGGACTCCAACCACACGCAGTAACATGGGGGACCCCCCCCAACATCACACAGAACTGAAGCAGCTGCACAAGCAAACACAACACACGATTCCACTGACACCAAGCTCAAAAAACCAGGCAAAGAAATTCCACACGCAGCCATCAGGACAGTGAGAAGCCTACCCTGTGAGGGCCGCGTGAGGGTGCCTGGGGTCTGTGGTATGTTGTGCTCTTTGATCTCAGAGCTGGTTATATGGACGTGTCCAATTTGTGGAAGTTCATCATAATCTGTCTGTACCTTACACTCCAATAAGAACATTACTCCAAAGAGACTGAATCTTATCGGCAGTGTGGGCCAGGCTCTTACCTGAGAACGGGTTCCCCTATGGCGGTCACAAGTACACTGCCTTCAATCAATGCAATGTCGGCCCGGTGACCCGTCTTCCCGCTCAACTTGACCTGATAACAAGACACATGCAAAAGAAGCATGTTGCTCTTGTGAGCCTGGAGTCTCTGGTGTGCGGTGGCCTGGGGGGGGGACGCTCTAGCTGGGCAGGTGCAGGTGTGGACATGTGGGAAGGCAGCCCTGACCCTGCACTGCTGCTCTCTGCTGTGCATTAAGTGGTTGATAATGAGAGCTGCCATGTGCATGACACCTGGTAAGTGCATTTCTAGAGCGACCACCATGCTGAGCCCAGTTCAGGCACGACCACACACTCTTGAGCAGGTGTCATGACCCTATTCTGCAGAAAGCAAACCTGCCCGGGGCCCCCAGCCAGTGAGTGGCTTAAGGGAATCTGAACCCAGGTCCAGGTGACTCAGAGATTCTCTTTTCCACTACTGTGCCAGGGGTATGTAAATGACTGTGTAAACACTGGCTTACAAAAAATCAGCTCCGTCATCTACAAGAGTATCTTCAGGGAAAGTTCAAATTCTCCGAGGAACACAGATTTCTCTGGTATAAACCAGGGAACTGGAAGGAGAGCAGGGAGGACCAGTCCCTGGTGAGCTGCACACTTGGAATAGCACGCAGCACAGGGGTGCGCCCCACAGCGTCCTCCCGTCAGCGAGAGCCCAGGGCAGAACCGAGAGGCACCTGTATGGAGTTCTCCTGTTTCCCAGCAGCCGCAGCCAAATAGCTGCTGCCCAGGACGGGGACTGATGCACCCTTGCGCAAAACAACCCGTGTACACCCGGGCCGGGGGCAGCCGTGACAGAAGCGAGGACCTGTATCTACGCACAGATGAGAAGCAGGATGATGTGCCCGTCCCCCCTGTTTCCATCCTGAAGGTCAAATGAGCTGCTGCAAGGTGAGTGGTTATTCTGAGTCACAGCCGGGTGTACAGGCTGCGAGCTAGCCAGTTGAGGGGGCGCAGCCCTGAGCGAGCCCAGACTCTCCCACCCCCATCTGATGGCACCTGCAAAGCTCCTGGGAAGCAAGTCGTGTAGGTGATACTACTGGACAGCTCTGGTGGCTGTGGTGAAGTCAGGTAAAGCCTGGCCCTGGCCGTGTCCTGCTGCCCACGGTCCCACCTACCTTCATCACTTCCTCGGCTTCACCCTCAGGCCTCACTACATACAGAGACAGCAGCAGGTTCTGCGTGACCACGACCAGGGCCTCCCTTTCCTCGATGTAGAAGAGCATTTGGACGGAGCTGTCTGTGGAAGCCACCTGCGTGGTCTTGCCTTTCTCATCCACGTAGTGCACCGTCCCTAAGGGCAAAGGGGTCAGTCCGGGTGGCAGTGCACTCACCAGCAGCCACCAGAATCTACTTAGGGATGTTTGCAAAATAAACATCTTTGTTATAAAAATTTACAACTTCTGCACATAACCCCCCGGGCCATCTCTGAAATAAGCTTCACCTTCTCAGCACCACTGGCCTGCCCAGCAGCCTTGAGACTTCGTTCACCTTGGTGTGCTCACGTGCCAGGCATGTCCATCAGCCGTACGTGGCGGCCGAGAGCTACAGCCCTGCTGCAGCTGCTAGGGCCCTCCTGCAGCCGCTAGGGCCCCCCTGCAGCCGCTTCGGCCCTCCCGCAGCCGCTTCGGCCCTCCCGCAGCTGCTACGGCCCTCCCGCAGCCACTACGGCCCCGCTGCAGCCGCTTCGGCCCCCCTGCAGCCGCTACGGCTCTCCTGCAGCCGCTACAGCCCTCCTGCAGCCGCTATGGCCCTACCGCAGCCGCCGCTCCCTGTCCCCTCTGTGGCCCACGTGCTGGTGGGCTGGCTTTCCTGCCTGCGCTCTCAACCTCTGCGGGCACTTGTCCTGGCCCAGGGACCTTTCTTCCCCTGCCTGGCCCAGCCTGCCAGCCCTTCCTTGCCCTCCAGGTTCCCTTTGGGCTTCTGCATCCGTGGGGAGTCTCCTGTGAGCGCCCATGAAGCAACTCATTTCTGCTGCTCTCAGGAGCCTCCTCACCCTCCTGATCTCCTCTCATCTGTTTCCAAGGAATGCTTGACTTCCCATTCAACTGGCAGGTTCAAGGTTGTGCAGAGGCCCGTGGTCAGCATATGACCACACTGGCACCGCCTCGGCCTCAGTGAGCCTTGGTGGCAGGCCTGGCGACACACTCACACATGCTCACTCAGCTGACATTTCCAGTGAGCACACAGCAGGAGTCTGACTAGACGGGGTAATCTGTCTCCGAAGCCCACAGCTCCTGAATGAGGGACAGGACTGACCCCTCCAGAGCCAGGCTTGTCCCCACTGTACAACCCTGTCTGCTAGGCCTTCTTCCCACACCATCTTCTCGACTCCTTGCTAAGGGGGCCTTGCACTAGCATCTTCTTCCCCACACAGCCCAAGGCTCCGTGCCCACTCCTGTCCCTCGGGACCGCCTCAAAGTCCCCTCCATCAGCTGTCTCTTCACCTCCAGAAACAAACAATATCCCTATTTTAAAAATGACGAAGGCCCCAGCCCCTTCCAGCTGTCCTCTGCTCTCTTCTTCCCATCAAGGCTGAGCTGCGTGGTGGCACGTCCTCCGGAAGCTCACCACCTTCGTGAACCACATTTCCTTGCTCTCGCGCCTGCAGCAGACACACACGTGAGTGCCTCCCATGAAGGCAAAGCACTCTTCTCCCCCCTTACTTCACACTGCATTTCTCTGCTGTTGCTGGCCTGTCTCCCTGCTTATACCGAGGAGGAGTCAAAGTCCAGACAGTGGACTCAACGCTGGCCACCGGCGGAGGCTGGCTGGTGCTGCAGCCTGGAAGCAAAGCCTGCGCCCATCCTGCCCCGTCGCGCTCCCTCCCCAGAGCTTGGCCAAAGAATTACAGGGAAGATGCTTCCTGTCCCCACAGAGCGGACAGCGGAGCGCTGTACCACGCATGCTGCCTGGAGCTGCGCAGGGGAGCAGTCAGGAGGACCGCTGGCTGGTGGAGAGCCTCCTCGCGAGAGCCCGCCAAACACGAGCACAGCCAATTCGTCTCTATCAGGACAAAGTGAGGCCCTCCTCTGAACACTGGATAAGTAACTGCCGAGAGCAGCGGACGCATCACTCTAAAACCGGCCCACATACAGCCTACTATATTATGCAGAAACATCATCTCTTTGTTTAAAATCCTTACCAGAACCCCTAAAATGCTTCAATGTCCTAGAGTCCCCACCTAAGTTTCTCACCATCCATCAGGCTGACAAAGAATGATAGTCCCTCTTGAGATCCCATTTTCAGGAAACTTCCAAAGTCACTTTTCCTCCAGTTAAACATGTCCAGGGCTCTCTCATCACCGCTCACAGCCGCCTTCGCCAACTGAACGAGGTCCCTTTGAAAGGCAGATATGATGGGAAGTCAGGATTCCTTACAGGAAGATGTTCCTTATAGGAAGGTGTGGTCACTACAGATGTGCCCAGAG